GCATGCAGCTCGAGTGGGATCGTTTATTTAATTCAATGCCAGCCGTTGCAACAGGTACGCCGCTTCTGGAGTAGATCGGTACCTTATCTTCGAACATTACGGTCAATTAAACAGCGAATACTTCCTAGAGGGTTCGAGCGTTTTCGAAGCGTTCCAGTGATCAATGGAAATCTCCCGATCCGCGTGGATAAGCATCGAGAGTTACGATTATTAGCTCCATCGAGCCACGCTGTTAGACCTCTTTAAGATCGCGAGATTGATAAGGTTTAATAAGAGATTTGAGACCCTGGGTTCTCACAGTAAGGACTTCTTGGCGCAAGATTTGTCCTTTGAGGAGAATGAACCTTCAGCTAGCTTGTTAGTGGTTCCAGGGAAGAATTGTTACAGCTCTCGTAGGCCACAGATTCGCTTTCATAGACTATAACCATGTTATCTTCTCAAGCTTTTCGCTACCATGATAGCTACTTGGCTAGCTTTTTCTGTGAATCTAAGCAAGACTGCAGATGGTAGTAGATTTGTCGATTAGGACTTTTCTATAGTTACGAGGACAAGAAAAAAATTATCTACACTTTTCATTCTACAATTTATTTACACGAAACTAGGGTTTCACTATGCACATCACTTTTCTACGTAATCTCCCTCCTTATCAATCCACTTTGTCTAAGGTCAACAAGCTTACATATTCCTTGCAAATGAAAGGTTCTCTGTTTGTCGGGAAGCCACTTTTCCACGTTTAATCTTCACGCGTCACACTTGTTCGGCCATTTTTAAACTTCTCCACCCATAAAAATACAGTTTTACGTGATAATGCACTTCCCGAATATTACAACGATAGTCTACGATGAATTTCTGAACCTTTGACACCCTCCGAGCAAAGGAATCGAATCACTGATCGTTGTTCCTCTTTGGTATAAACTTATAATGGCGCGGTCATGATCTACAGTAAAGTTCTCCATAAATACACAAATATTCTCTACGATAAATGCACAGAAACCATCCCCACCACTGGGAGGTATACCCCTCTCGAGGGGTCCAGAAGTTCGATCGTCGAGTAGTGTAATATGATCTGGGATCGCATATCTCGTTGAAACAATTTAATGCAACTGTTGTGTACGCGTTTTCCACCGCAGTTAATTTGAATGGTTAAACTTCGTACGTAATTTTTATTGGATTTTCGATCGATGTGCACACTGTGCTTGTTCGCGGGGACGGAAGTCAGTGTGCACAATGTAAGAAGAGTTATGTCAAAAGTGTAAATAATTTTTTATTTCCCCTCGTAGATGTTGCGTGAGATAACCAATAACTCTAGAGAAGAACATGCCAGTCGTTAAACGTAGAATGTTTGACATTGTTCGTGGTCTCTAGCTATGTCATTTCGTAAGTCCCGGCCAACATTGTAGGTAGTAGTAATTAACTTCATCAGTGGCCCTAGACGATGCTGTAGTAGAACTTCATG